AAAAAGAAAACCAGAAGATTCATATATTTTCAGCAGACTTGGGTAACAATTTACGGAGGACCCTTACTCCTAAAGTAATAGCAGTATCTTCATGAAAAGACTTGATTTGAAAAGCTCATGTGTATGTTGCCATATTTCCGCTCTTTATTATTGTTAGGTTTTCAACTATATGCCAAAGCTATGACTTAAAGAAAGCTGACCCGAAATTATTTAAATTAGAAGCCCGTTTTGCGTAATCATCTCTTAAAAGATATAACTTTAGAAATAATCGGTATATCTTTATGAAATAACATGACTTGAAAATTGATGGCAATTTCATTATAAATTACAAAACAATGTTGCCATATTTTTGACAATGTACCAAAGATATGTTGCAATAAATACTGGAAACGAAGCTTGTCATGTTTTGAGCGCTTGTGGGTAATTAAATTCAAGAAGTGATTTCTTCTGAAGTAATCGGCTTATCTCCATAAAATACCATGATTTTAGGTGTGGAGAGTGCTATTCTTAAAATTCTGTAAAATATTGTCATATTTTATGCAACGGATCAGATGTTTAAGGAAATAAAAACATTTTCCATGTTTTAACTTTTTTGGTACCTATATTCCAGACGTCATAACTTTTGAAATATTTGCTGCACTGAAATGAAATGCATAAATTTAGAAAGCTTTGACACCTTTTTTATAAACAACAGTACAATATTGCCATATTTCAGGCATTATATCAGAGATATATTGCAATAAAAGCAATGACCGAAATTTGCCAAGTTTTTGATGCTTTTGGATAACATTATTGGCTAGGGCATAACTTTTAAAGTATGCGCTATATCTTCCTGCCATAACTTTATAGTGAATTTGTGGATTCTACCAATTTAAAATATTCACAATATTGCCATATTTATTGGCAACATTAAAGTTAAATCAAAGAGAAAAACATATACTGAGAGGTTGAATATTTTTGCACTTTTTGGGTAATAAGATTCTGGGTGTCGTAATTTCCGAATTAGTCGTTGTATTTGCATAAAGTAGCCAAATTTTATAATCTGTGGCAACTCCTTTTTCGAATATGGTACAATATTGCCACATTGATGACAAGATACTAAAGATATCGCTAAAGGAGCCAAGTTGTCGGAATTTACAAAAGTTTAGACGCTTTGCGTAACCTTCTTCAATTGATTATTATTTCAGTTCTATTAGACTTATCTGCATGCAATAAATTGGTGGGCAAAGTGTTGACACTTCTGTTTTAAATGTTGTCAAATATTGCCAGATTTTCTAAATATGTACTTCAGGTATGACGAAAGAAAGCCATGAGCGAAACAATTGTTTAATATTTCCTATTTTGCGCAGTGATCTTCAAGACTCCGTAACTTTTGAAATATACGTAGAATTTTTATAAAATAAATCGATTTTGAATGTTTGTACTCTGGGTTTTCAAGAAGCTGCGCAATATTACCATGTCTGCCACAAGGTACCTGAGTTATAGTGAAATAAAGATGATTAACGAAATTTGCAATAGTTTAACCGCATTTGGGTAACCATCTTCTAGAGGTTGTAAGTTTTGTAATAATCAACAGATTTCTATGAAATAAATTACTTTTAAAAGGTTAGGTAATTCTTTTTTAAATTTGGAGTAATGTTGCCATATTTTCTAAATACGTACTAGAGATACGTCAAAAGGAAGTCATGTGCCTAACAAATATTTAATATTTTTTCTTTTACACAGTTATATTCAAGAGTTCGTAACTTTTGACATATAAGTCGTATCTCTATAAAACAAATCGATTTTGAATGCTTGGATTATTGGTTTTAAAATGATGTGCAATATTATTATATATGCCCCAAGATCCCGGAGATATAGTTAAATAAAAATGGTTATCGGAGTTTGTAATAGTTTAACCGCTTTTGAGTAATCATCTTCTAGAGCTTGTAAGTTTTGTAATAATCGACAGATTTGTATGAAATAAATTGCCTTTAAAAGCTTAGGCACTATTTTTTCAGATTTTGCACAGTATTGCCATATTTTCTAAAATGTACTTGAGCTATGTCAAAAGAAACCCTTGTGCTCATGAAATGTTTAAATGTTTTTCTTTTGCGCTGTTATCTTCAAAAGTGCATAACTTTTGGAATATACGTCGTATCTCTATAAAATAACTTGATTTTGAATGCTTGGACTGTTTATTTTAAAAAAGCTGTTCAATGTTACCACATCTGCCTCAAAGTACCTGAGATATAGTTAAATAAAGAAGGTTATCGAAATTTGCAACAGTTTAACCACATTTGAGTAATCATCTTCTAGAGCTTGTAATTTTTGTAATAATCGACAGATATGCATGAAATAAATTGCCTTTAAAAGGTTAGGTAATTATTTTTTAAATTTTGTACAATCTTGCCATATTTTTCAAAAATTTACTTGAGATATGACCTATAAAAACCTTGCGTTCAACAATTGTTTATTATTTTTTCTTTTACGCAGTCATCTTCATGAGCTCGTTACTTTAGAAATATACGTTGTATCTCTGTAAAATAAATCGATTTTGAATGTATGGATTCTTGGTTTTCAAAATGCTGTGCCATATTACCATATCTGCCACGAGGTACCGGGGATATATTTAAATGAAGATGGTTATCGAAATTTGCTATAGTTTAATCGCATTTGGGTAACCATCTTCTAGAGCTTGTAATTTTTGTAATAATCGACAGATTTCTATGAAATAAATTACCTTTAAAAGGTTAGGTGTTTCTCTTTGAAATCTTGGACAATATTGCCATATTTTTGGAAAATGTACTTGAGCTATGACAAATAAAACTTTGCTCTCAAAAAATGTTTGACATTTATTCTTTTGCGCTGTTATCTTCAAAAGTACATAACTTTTGGAATATACGTCGTATCTCTATAAAATAACTTGATTTTGAATGCTTGGACTGTTTATTTTAAAAAAGCTGTTCAATGTTACCACATCTGCCTCAAAGTACCTGAGATATAGTTAAATGAAGATGGTTGTCGAAATTTGCAAAAAATTACCGGCATTTGAGTAACCATCTTCTAGAGGTTGTAATTTTTGTAATAATCGACATATCTGCATAAAATAAATTGCCCTTAAAAGGTTAGGTACTACAATTTTAGATTTTGAGCAATATTGCCACATTATCGGAAAATGTACTTGAGATATGACAAATAACAACCTTGTGCGAAACAAATGTTTAATATTTCCTATTTTGCGCAGTGACCTTCAAGAGTCCATAACTTTTGAAATATACGTCCTATCTTTGAAAAATAACTCGATTTTGAATGTTTGGATTCTTGGTTTTCAAATGCTGTACAATATTGCCATATCTGCCACAAGGTAACGGAGGTATAGTTAAATAAAGATGGTTATCGAAATTTGCCATAGTTTAATCGCATTTGGGTAACCATCTTCTAGAGGTTGTAAGTTTTGTAATAATCAACAGATTTCTATGAAATAAATTACTTTTAAAAGGTTAGGTAATTCTTTTTTAAATTTGGAGTAATCTTGCCATATTTTCTAAATACGTACTAGAGATATGACAAAAGTAAGCCATGTGCGAAACAAATGTTTAATATTTTTTCTTTTAAACAGTTATATTCAAGAGTCCATAACTTTTGAAATATACGTCCTATCTTTGAAAAATAACTTGATTTTGAATGTTTGTACTCTTGGTTTTCAAAATGCTGTGCAATATTGCCATATCTGCCACAAGGTACCGGAGATATAGTTAAATGAAGATGGTTATCGAAATTTGCAATAGTTTAACCTCATTTGAGTAATCATCTTCTAGAGCTTGTAATTTTTGTAACATTCGACGGATTTGCATGAAATACATTTCCTTTGAAAGGTTAGGCAATTCTCTTTGAATTTTTGTACAATATTGCCATATTTGTAGAAAAATTTACTTGAGATATGACCAAAGAAAACCCTATACCCAAAAATTGCTAGTTTTTGGTATTTTTGCATAATTATCGCATTGGGATCATAACTCCTAAAGTAGTGTTTATATATTTACGAAATAACTTCATATCGAATGTGTGAGTGTTTGTTTTGAAAATATTGTCCATTGTTGCCATATTTTTTTCACGCTCTCCCAACAAAATTGCATTAATGGCCATGACCCTGGTTGTGAGTTTTTTCTTTTCCCCCAAAACAATTCATTCATAATTCAATGGCTTTTGTCTGGAGTCGTTAGCCAAATGTCACAGAGAAAAAAAAATTGGAAAAATAACAACAAAACATTTTAATGGCGTATGGAAAAAAATAGAAACAAACCCCAAGTCTAAAGCAGGCTTCAGAAATAGTTGAACACAAAAAGCCTCCAAAGAACAAAAGACTGACTGTTGGCCTTTTGTGTGCGGTTTTTATGATAATGTTAATATCCTGTGAATGTAAGGAGGTGGGTTGTTGCTGTCGTTTTTATGGGCCCTGTAACTATTTTTGACTTCTTTTTTTCAGAATGGGGGGGGGGGGAAATAACATTTTAAAATGTTGGAGAGGGCTAAAGGAGTTGTTGCTATTTTAGAGAAGTCAATGTTTGTGGGTGATTAAATGAGAGGATGTATTTTTTTGGGATAATATCACAAGAGAGCATAAGAGAGTTATTAAGAGAATGGAAAAGACAGACAGGTACAAGGCTTTAATGAAATGTGTTTTCCTCCCCCCTTTCCTCAAAGGAGACACAATACCAAGAGATACCAAAAAGGCGAAAAACAGAAAGGACTTGTGTGTGTGTGTGTCTGTGCCTGGCTGTGTAAGGATAACCATTAATGAAGCTAAATTTGGGATACACAAACACACATAGCCCTACATACACATGTAGATAATAAATGTTAAAAAAAAACACCTCAACAAATTATGAAGTTCATTAAAGAACAAAAAAAAAATTAGGCTAAGGTTGTTAAGTCAATTTTTTTTTTCAATTTTAATTTTGAAGGATTTTTGTTGATGATTTTTATAAAAAGAAAATAAAAAAACGGTATCTAATTACCCTTTCCAAAACGCTTAACAGCTCCGAAGGTTTCATGTTTATCCACGGTGTTTGCCAAAGCCTTTGAAATCCAATCAAGTTGAGGTTCCTTCTGAGCAAAATTTCCTTGGAATACAACAATTGACTGGCTGTCTGGTGGGTGGCTGACTGTCAATTGAAGGATGGTGCGGTGTGGATGACGTTTACGTTGATAATGCCAACAATGGCCTTTGAACGTTAGGTTTTTTTTTCACTTAATTTTCTTTTTCGCTATAATTATCACTGATCCTTGATGTGCCAAAGGAGGGGGCAAGGGGCTGGGGAGTAGAGATAGGATTTTAGACACTCACTACACAATGGACACACACACACACGGACACTTTTACTCTTCTCACACCCTCAAGAGCATAAATATTCAATGCTAAATATTCAACAGTTTTTTTTTTCTGAGGAGATTTTCTTTTTTTTTTGGGTTTCAAATGGATTTTTTAGATATATTTTCTTGGGAAAATTATTTCTTTCACTTCATTTTTCTTCACTTTTTCACAGAAATTTTTTTTCATAACAATTTTTGGTTTGGAATTTTTTTCTCTCTCTGCCCCCAGGTATTGGTGTGACAATTTTTTCAAATTATTTTCTTGTTTTAAAATATTTTAAATTTTTTTAAATGTTACACACAAAAATCCTTTAGATTTTCAGTCATCTATTCGTTTAAAATAAATTTTTCTATCGTTTTCTGGCGTTTTTCTTTCCTGTTTTTTTTTCTCTCTGTTCGGAATGATGAGAAAAATTTTCACGTTTAACTTTGCCGAAGTGAAAAAAATGAATGGTTGCAATTTTCCGTGTGTATAACTTCAAAAAATTGGTTTAGTTAAGTCTTGGTCCTTCCTCTGCTTAATGTCACTCGCACACACTCACACACACACAGCACTCTCACACAGAGATAGCCACAGTTGGTGTAAAAAAAAATACTGAATGAGAGTCTGTGCGTAAGTGTTTTTTTTTTTTTTTTTGTTTCATTCGTAAAAGCTTCTCTTTACATTGTTGTAGTAGTATTCCTGTCAAACAAAACATCCCTACAAAACACAAAAAAAAAAAACACCAACACCATACTTAACCTACCACCCCTTTCCCCCAGCCCGAAAAAAACATCATTATCAACCTTACCCTTGTCTGGTTATTAAACTTCGTCAACAACGACTGTCGTTGTCAACGACTTCTATGCACAAAGCTCTTCGCGGCACAGTAACTCTCAGACACTCAGACTCTCAACTCAAACGGAGAGTGTTACTTGTGGTGTGTTTGTTGAGAGTGGGTGGCTTGTGGTGAATTGAAGCTGTTGTGTTAGAGTTGCCATTGTAGCGTTGCTAAAAGGCATCAATGCAAATTTATATTAGGAATGGATAATTGGTGATTTCATGGGGGACTAAGGAGTCGTAGGAGAATGTACCCAAATCCGGCATCATTTTTATAATACGTTCAGGAGGAAAAAAAGGAGTTTATCGACCTTGTGTACCCTTATTTAAGTTTGAATTTTCTCAACAATAGGGAATAGAAAATAGGGGATTTATGGGGGACTAAGGAGTCGTGGGAGAATGTGCCCAAAGCCGACATCACTGTCCCAATTCAGGGGGAAAAAAGGAGTTTATCGACCTTGTGTACCCTTATTTAAGTATGGATTTTCTCAACAATAGGGAATAGAAAATAGGGGATTAATGGGGGACTAAGGAGTCGTAGGAGAATGTGCCCAAAGCCGTTTTCACTTTTCCAATACGTTCAGGAGGAAATAAGGAGTTTATCGACCTTGTGTACCCTTATTTAGCAGGGACAACTAGTTTGGGTTTTCTCAACAATTAAATGACAGCTTCATTTTTTTAACACGTTTCCTTTAAGTTTCCCGAAAATACCGAATATCTGGAGGTAGCGATATATGGGGGCTATACGAAGACGTGGACCTGCACAGACAATTTTCTGTCATAGGCCGTAATATCCATTGCGAACTTCAAATACCACATTTGAAACTTTTGCGGTGAATAATGTCGCTAAAATCATCAAAGCACCGAAAAATGGGAATTATCGTTATATGAGGGCTATGCCAAAACGTGGACCTACATGACCTATTTTCAATACCAAAAGTCCAGGAGCCATAACACACATTTGAGTAAAATTTTATCAACCTACTTCATTTCGTTCGGAAGCTAGAGTGATTTCCACAGACGGACAGATGATCAAGAATATGCAGGGTGAGATAAAAAAAACCGCAACAAAGCCATAATTTTTACATTTTTTTAAATTTTACTGAATGAAAGCAAAAAAAGTCGGAAATAGCATCAAATTTTAGAATAAGCTTAGATTTCTACGAATTGGTCACCTTTGGCACGAATTATGGCCCTCAAACGGCCAATGAAACCGTCACACGCTGGCCAAATGTTGCTCTGCGGTATTTTGGCCCATTTCCGGCGTAACGCTTGCTTGAGATGATCGACACTTTGTTATTTTTTAGTGCCGATCTTGCTTTACAAAATACTCCAGACACAATAGTCCAACGGATTGGTATCCGAAGATTTTGGTGGCCATTATGCGCTGGAAATGAAGCGAAGAACCTCATTTTGTAAGTATTCCTGGGTGGCGCGTGCTGAGTGTGATGATGGTGCTGAGTCCTGTTGGAATGTCCAAGGTCTGCAGCAAAAATGTTTGCGTGCCCAAGGCTTTAATACACCCTCCAGAATATTTTCGCTATAATATTCGGCATTTATTCTGATGCCACGGCCAGAATATTTTGCCGATAATATTCGACATTTATTCTGATGCCACGGTCGATTAATACGAGCGGAGAGCGGTCATCGGCTGTTATGGCGGTCCACACCATCACCATGGTCGCCGCTTGAGTGGTTGGCACAGGTGGCCAACCGAAGGTGCACATTTTCAGCTGACCTCTTTGGCAAGTAAACACGATCATTGTGTTTGTTTACAAACTGCTGGACAGCGAATGTTTTCTCATCGGAGAAAACCAAATTCGGCAGTTCACCACTTTCGGCCGAAAGAAACAACTCTTTAGCTCTTTTGAGTCTATTTTCTTTATGTTGCGGTGTAAGTTCTTGCACTTTTTGGAATTTCAATGGCTTTACTCCGAGCTTATTTTTCAATATTTGCCGAATGGAATATTGCGATATGTTCTGCTCACGAGTCATTTTCGGCCACTGCGACGAGGGTTTCAAGTCGATCAAGTCGCTTCTTTTTCTGTTTTCTTCCGTCCTCTTGATTGGCGTCGGACTACACAACCCGTATGACGGTAACGAGCAATGGTACGAGACACAAAAGATTTATTCACATTTAAATGCTGGAGTGCTCTTCTAACGATAGCCACTTGTGGTTCTCCAGCCAAATATAAAGAAATCACACTATCACGCTTGAATTCCGTCAGAAATAACTTTTATTACGGAAAATTCTTACCAAAATGCACGCTGCTAAACAATATAATGAGCTGTCACTGGAATAATTTTAACAGCTGTCGGACGAGTGGCTTAGAAATGCCAGCAGTCTGAAGTTGGTTGCAGGTTTTTCATCTCACCCTGTATTCGGCGCTTTGGCGTAATTTTATTGAAGATGTCACGACTTCTAATGTAATCGTTATTTTTACATAAAACTTTTTTATTTAAAAAGCCTGAATGTTTCTTCTGAAAGTTGCTAAAAAAATGTTGCCATATTTTTAAAAATATACGAAAGATATGGCTAAATGAAAACAGATATTGGATTGGAGCATTTGTTTTTTTTTTTTTTGTCTCTTTGACTTAATTATCTTCTAAGGCTCATATCTTCAAAAGTATTAGATATAAATTAATTAAAATAAATTAATATTGAATATATGAAATTCCTTCTTTAAACTTATGCAAAATGTTGCCATATTTTCGGCAACATACCAAGAATATGGCAACATTAAGATATGTGCCGAAATTTGACATAACATAATACGGGGTTTCCTTTTTGAAATCTTATACATTTTTTGTCATTATTTCAACCTGAAATTATTATTTCAACAGAAATTGTTCATAATTGTTGTGTTTTAAGAGATCATAACGTCTGATGACAATGGTGTATCTGTATGTCTATTTAAAAAAAATGCATTATTTCCAGTCTCAAGTTGGGCGCCAATTTCTAGTTTCTATTTTCTATTTCATAAATGTGTTGGCGTTTTTTAATTAATTAATTTTTTTTTTTTTTTGTTTTCCCTCGGCTTAGTTTTTCTCCTACTTTTACTTGCAATAAAACTTTATTATGTTTACATCATGTTTGAAGCCCCAGGTTGGGCGCCAATTGTCCTTTGTGTTTTAACTCTCTGATAATAAAAAAATAAATTATCGATGTTTGAAAACTTGTCTAGTTGACATTTATGTGTTGATGTTATCAACGTGTTGGCGTTTTTCTTTACCCACAGTTTAGTTCTTATAAAAAAACACAGAGAGTTCCAATCTCTCCCAACTCTCACAATCATCACGAAAGGTTAATTGGAATTGAGTAACATCTGTTCCAGAGTATAAACGTATTTTTGTTTATTTATTTATTTATTTATTTTTTTTTTTTGCATTTTGAGAATTTTTTATTTTCACGCTAAACTACTTTCGTTCTGCGCAAAATCGCTGTTATTTGCCTCACTCTCCCACGACACTCCCTCCGTTTGACGGCAGGCCTACCATTGAAAATTACTCTTCCCGCTTTTTTGTGTTTTTTTTTTCTTTCGGCGAAGTTTTTACTACAACCTCAACGTCCTTCGGCAATTTGAGAGTCCCATTAACTGGCTTCGTGGAAGAATAGGGTTGCCAAGTCAAAAATAAATATAACAATATTATTTGAATATGTTATAATGGACATTGGAAAATAAATACAACAAAGGTTATAATGGAGCATGACTATAAATTCTTAAAAAGGAAATCCAGGACTATTTTAGATGTTGCAGAATACTTTTTAAAAACTTCAGGCCCTTGAAAATAAATTTTAGAAAAATCGATTTCATAACAGAAGTGGAAAAATAATATTAAGAATTATAGTAAGCCTTGAAAAATAGGATTTGAAAATTTTTGAAAACAAGTAAAAAAACTTGTAAGTTCAGCCGGGTCGATCTTTTGAACGATTTTGGCAATATTCAAAGAAATAAAATCCATTAAAAATTATTTTAAAATCTTAAAAATTCCAAATGTAGCCGTTATATTGGGGTCTTTACGACGACGTAGACCTGCAACTGTTGTCATAAACCATTACAATATTCAAATGCGAAACGTGAACAAATAAGAAACAATTAAAAAAGCTATAAGTTCGGCCCGGCCGATCTTTGAATACCCTCCAGCATTTGAAACGATTTTGGCAAATTTCACAAAAATAAAAATCCGTTAAAAATTCTGTTAAAATCTAAAAAATACCGAATGTAGCCATTCGATTGGGGTCTATACGAACTTCAAATACCAAATTTGAAACATTTCCGGTAAATAATGTTGCTTATCAAAGTGCCGAAAATCGGGAGACAATTTCTACCACAGGCTGAAGACAATTTTCTGTCATAGGCTGAAGTACCCATTACCAACTTCAAATATTAAATTTAAAACATTTCCGGTGAATAATGTCGCTAAAATCAACAAAATACCAAATATCGGAAGGTACCGTTATATGGGGGCTATATGAAGACGTAGACCTGCATAGACAATTTTCTGCCGTAGGCTGTAGTACCTATTACGAACTTTAAATACCAAATTTAAAACAATTCCGATGAATAATGTCGCTAAAATCAGCAAAATACCTAATATCGAGAGGTACCGGTA